AAGTGAACACAGAGCAAATGGAGATGATGGAAATAACCAACCAACAACAAGCTCTGGGTCACTACCAACGGAAGAAATTTGAAAGAGGTCACTTTCTTCGCTTATCTGGGTAGTACAATTCCGACTACATATGGCGGGATAGATGAGGATGTCAAAGTCAGGACTGGAAAAGCAAGGCAGGTATTCATCAGTTTGGAAACCTTCTGCACTCACCATTAAGAACAAACTTGGGATTGTCAACACCGATGGTAAGTCAGTCAATTCTTGTATATGTGTCAGAGACTTGGCATGTCACCAAAAGCACTTCCAACGGATTGCAAACTTTAATTAACAGCTACTAGAAATCAGATGGCCAGCCAAAAAGAATTAACAACAAGAAACTCTGGGAACGAACCAATCGAGAGCCTACTGACCAACAAATATCCTGGAGAACTGGGAACTTCGAGTGACATCGCACACCAGGCCAACGCCGAAATGGATGTGCTTGCGAGTGTGATATGGAGATCGTGTGACAAGGAGATGAAATCTTAAGGGTAATCGTGGGACCAGCTGAAGAGAGAACGGGACAAAATAGAGATGTGCTGTTGAAGCCCTATCCTCCGCTCGTAACCTAAGGTAATAACAATAATCATAGATATATGCAAGTTTAATCTTCTTGGAAGCATAACGAAGTTTGTAAAGTATTATAGAGTCAAACAACTTTACTCATTGGAAACCCAATGACGACAGTAATAAACCTTAGATTTACTGTACAATATTGGTCAGAATATTTCCACATACATGCTTCGATGTCAATCACTATATAGCCTCTTGTATTCACTGGTGAATATTTAGCGTCCACGACAGTGATTTAAGAAACATCAATAATGTGTAAACTGCGAATACACAGCGACAATTAACCGGGACACCATGAATTTACATTAGGTGCTTCAAGGTAGAGATATGCCTGTGTTTAGAAATGGAGGATTGCATCATGAGCTGACATTTGTTAGAGAACCATTGAAAAACCTGGGGAGTACTGGAGAGCCGTTTCGTCCTAGTTTGGGACTCTTCATCAGTACGCTCATGATGAAATCCCCCAACCAATCAAACTTAAACCCTACAAAACCAATACTTGAAAATTTTATTATTAATACAATGTTCGACATACAAATAGGCTTAGAAGACTGTATTACTTCAAGTCGGCACACTCGAAACACCATAGGTAAAAGAAAAATAGAACGGTATTAAAACAGACGAATATCACTATGAGGAGGGGCTAATATTTGAATAAGGACGGGAATAGATGTTCGGAATTCCCAAGACGCTGAAAGACAACTTATACTAGTCAACAGTTGGGGACTTCTCCTGTTTCGGTGTGATCAGCCTTAACTCTTCTGCGAACTAGTCATACTTTAACATTATTTTTAGAACCCCAATGTAACTTAGTATGCTCGGTAGGGCACAAACATCTCATTATATGTAAATTCACAGTGTGGCTTTTGTGGTTCCCGCAGTAGCCATAAACACCACGAAGTTGACTCCTCTGGCGATTTCACTTCATACCAGTAAGATTAAACGGAAGGTGGTTACGTGATGCATTTGCCTTTCGGTGTGTAGTTGCGTTTGTTCTCAGGTCCTTAGAGTGACGTATGGGTGGGTTTCCAGTATCCGTGCCGAGCTTTTGATAATATTCATTTCATTAGGGTTGATTCAATTTATAAAATAGATGAAATAGTAAATTCTTTTAATAAACAATGCCACCTTGTTTTCGTCCAGATAGAGTAATACATTTGGGTTCTAGCTCAAGTCGTTCAAAAGACCAAGTTCTTCAAAGGTCATTTAACACTACTACACCGACTGCGTACTTCTGAGCGATTAACTGTTATTTAAGTAAGGGATAAGTTATTGAGAAGCGGATTCACTTTCACCAACCTAAGTAAAAACTGCCACACTGAATATCACACGTATGTGCAGGAATTAGCGTATGCTTCGAATTCACACAGTTACTCCAGGATAGGCATTGTTCTTTCACTGACGATTTTCATCGATGAACAGCGGTTAGGACTCTCGCCGACCATGCACATGGTACCGGGTTCGAGCCCTCGCCGACGCACACCTGATATCTATGGTCGGCCTGCGAATTTTGTGCTACCGATATCCACGCTGAGAATTCCATACTTGTACCAAAAATACGGTGTGGAATCAAGCTGTAATCAAAAATAAATAATAATAAAAATAACGACATTACGTGTGTTCACTATCAACGGCTACCGTGTGGAACAAAGTCCTTTCATACTTTTTAAGTTGGTCTAGGTGACTAACATATACTCATCCGACCATGCACTGGTCCGCGCTCGGGTGTGCTTACGACTGAACGGACGTAGGAAACAGCTGGCGGTAAAACCATCACGTCCCCAGCTCGATCAGGAAACTAAATCCGTATTTCAGGAAGAACTAGCTAAACACATATCTGTGTTCGACAGCTGTGCTCACCCTGAAGAAGCTTGGAAAAATATCCAGGCAGCCATAGATACAGCTGTAAAAGCTGTGAATAAGGTAAACCCAAAGGTGAGTAAAAACCACTGGATCTCCACCGCCTCATCCGAACTGATAGATGCTAGAAGACTTATTCCGGCGAGCTCCGAATTCAATGAGGAGCGAAAGCTGCACAAGAGGAAACTTACGAAAAGTCTCCGCAAGGACCGTGAACAGTGGTGGGCGACAAAAGCCAAAGAGATGGAGAAAGCTTTGAGGATAGGCAACACCAGGCAACTCTTTGGACTCATCAGGGAAACGGGTGGGAGAAGACAAATCATTAGTGAGACAATCTCGGAAAAAAATGGCACTATAATTAGCTCACAGGATAGACGACTGGATCGTTGGAAAGAGCATTATGAGGAGCAGTTTAATTTGCCCACAGCCACGCTCAACCTTCCGAGCATCCAACACCTCCCTGAATGGGATATAGACACAGGTCCTCCGTCACTAACTGAGGTTACTAAAGCTGTCACCAATCTGAAACTAGGCAAAGCAGCGGGACCTGATGGAATGACGCCAGAGGTATTTAAGTACGGTGGAGACAGCTTACTGTCCGGATTAACTGAGGTACTAGGCAGCGTCTGGGAATCAGAAGAAGTCCCATCGGGTTGGTGTAAGTCACTGATTATCCCCATATACAAGAAGGGAGACAAGTCTTCCTGTGATAATCACAGAGGGATTAGCTTGACTAATATAGTATCTAAAGTCTTAGGCTCAATAATCATGCGTAGACTGAGTGGTGCTCGGGAAGCACAAACACGAGAGAGCCAGGCAGGCTTTAGACCAGGAAGAGGGTGTATTGATCATATCTTCACCCTCCGACAGATTCTAGAACATAGGCATTCCTACCGGCGTCCAACAGTCATTATATTTCTTGACCTAAAGGCAGCATTCGACTCTGTCGATCGGGAAGTTCTCTGGAGATGCTTGGCTGTAAAGGGAATTCCAAGAAAATATATTGCACTGATTAAGGCACTCTATTCGTACTCATACAGCCAGGTGAGGGCTTACGGCGAGCTGTCATCTGAACTGATGACGACCAGTGGTGTCCGTCAAGGATGCCCATTATCTCCTTTTCTATTCAACTTCATCATAGATGTGTTAATGGACTTAACCCTAGGTGACTTCAGCGATTCAGGGATTGACTTGCTACCGGGAATAATCTCGTTGACTTGGAATATGCAGACGATATAGTCCTTCTAGGCGAAGACGCTGACGAAATGCAGAGTCTTCTAAACACCTTGAGCCGCAATCTACGAATGTTTGGCATGCGATTCGCTCCCGCCAAATGCAAGATGATGTTACAGGACTGGACTACATCGACGCCTAGTTTAAAAATAGGAAGTGAAGTGGTAGAGCACGTTGACCGCTTCACTTATTTGGGAAGTACCATCAGCCCCAACGGGCTGATCTCTGACGAAATCTCAGCACGAATACAAGGGGCTCGTTTCGCATTTGTTAGTTTACGCCGACTCTGGCGTAGACGAGATGTTCGACTATCGACCAAAGGGCGGGTGTACTGCTCATCAGTCCGCTCCGTCCTCCTTTATGGTTGTGAGACCTGGCCACTGAGAGTGGAAGACATGAAAAGACTAGCTGTCTTTGATCATAGGTGCCTGCGTTCTATTTCCCGTGTAAAGTGGCATAATAAGGTGAGCAACATGGAGGTTAGGCGTAGAGTTCTAGGTAAACAGGGGAAATCAATCGACGAAGTCGTGAAGCTACAAAGACTGAGATGGTTAGGACATGTGTTACGTATGCCAAGCCATCGCCTCCCTCGACGAGCTATGTTAGCGGATATAGGGTCAGGCTGGAAAAAAGCTAGCGGCGGTCAAACAAAAACTTGGCATCAGTCAATGAAATCCACAACAGTTGGTCTAAGCCACGTAGGAAGGTGTAGACTTCCAGGCTGGGGTCCTCGGGACGGTAAAAATCTATGGTTGGAAACAATTGGTGACATGGCTCAAAATCGTTCTCAGTGGCGCAGATGCATCCACTCCTTGTGACTTATGATCTTCAATGAAACTGTTTTGTATTTCTTTATTACTCCTTTGTCTCACACCTCTGCTCACTGTTTCTATTATGCTTTTCTTGTACTTTCTTCTCTTGCTTCGCGTGCTACACGGAATGTGGCGACTTGAACTTCCGCACATTTGTGCAAAGTTCTATGTCGAAAACAGACAGACAGACAGACTCATCCGAGCAACGTTCTCCGTTTGTTGTACGAAACACCCTCAGAGTATACTTCTCCTAGAAGTTAAACGTCTCTAATTTTTACCGTGACTGTATTTGAACTATAATCCGTAGATGAGTAGGTGCGAACCACAAACAAGTAAGTAAATATCACCAGCTCTCCATAGTTTCAATCGATTCATTTGGCTGAGTAACACACACACAGCACCAAACACTGGTGTTCCAGTGCACCGGTGTACTCTTCGTTATCTGTATTTCAGCAAGCCCATAATCATAGAATTCCTGTGGTCCACTTTGTTCTAGCTGATTATCAATGGTATTAGGATACTAAAACACTATCTAGATGTTATTTGTTGGACTAGGCAGAATTCTAAATGATCTTAGTAATGCATTCCAGCGAAGAACAAAGTTATGACTCCCCACATTTTACTGATAATAAAACCACTTTAGGAAGAGTCATTACGCAACGTACTGCAAAAAATAAACTTCACTTTAGTTATTTGACTGATTTTATTAGTTATGTATGTACATAACTGCCCACCAAAACAATTACAAAATAAGTAATAAAGCAAAACTGATCAAGCACTGCGGGTATATTTACCCCAGAAGTGTAAAAGAAAAACAGAAACAATGAAGCATAGACTCATTACTAACACTGGTACAGGTCCAACTTTAATGCCAGGAGAGTCTTCTGAATAAAACAGGAAGACAGGATTTTTCTGTGCAGCTGGCGCAACTGGTCTCCTTGCTGATGATGTTGGTCCCTGGGGAAAAAAAAATTCACATCAAACAGAAAAATGACAGTTTGAAAACAAAGATAACACATAACAGGTAGTGATGTAAGATACTTTTAGGATGTATCCATATTTTTTTAGGATAAGATAATAGCTTTATTCCAAAACAGTACTTGTGATACAGAACGGAATTCTCAGCATTTTTACTACAATATTGCATCCAGTTAGTACATTAACAATAAATAAAGTTCTACATAGATTAAAGTTATCTCAGTCAGTTTTGACAACACCATATTAGCATGTCGGTAGCAAAGCCAAAATTTAAACAGAGTGTTTGAAGGTGTTGGAAAAGTAGATACTACTAGCATATTTACTGGCGTAAGCGATAGGAAAATGGTAGAGATATACAATGTGAAAGAACGAACAAAAATGTTTTAAGTAGAGTTTGTAAGGAAGAGAGAAACAAAACAGCACATAACAAAAATAAATACAGAATGAAAAAGTAGAGAGAAAACGTTGTACCTGTAAATGATGTGAGTTGGATAGACGAGACCCATTAGTTCTACTGATTATTTAATAAGTTAAAGGTTTCACACCTAATGCTTTCTTTGTCGCACAGAACACGAGCTAGGTAGGGTATGGATGAGTTTTTGTACTTACTAGTGCGGGCATATAGTTTCCTATATAGGCTTCTGGTTTTCCCTGAAGAGATACATGGGGAGAGTTGTGAATGTAGAGGGTGTTGTGAGTCAGATAAGATGGATTTCGCCCATTTTTCACATGAGTCCATGTGCCTGTCCACCAGAATATTACCAAGTTGGCTGAGTGGCACACTGCTTACCCTGCTGACAACCTTTAACATCCTGCGTAATAAGGTATAGTCTTTCTTTAATAGCCCAGGAAAAACTAAGGGGGAGCAATAGAGAATAATAGGGAGTTAACAAATTGTAGGAGTAAGGGTTGGGTTACACCAGAATGTCTTGATGTAGAAGGTAAGACGGAATATTTTCTTGGAAATCGTCAAGATGTGAGACGACCAGGAAAGATCAGAAGATAGAGTGACGCCTAGGTATTTAACTTCCGACTTGGTTTCAATCTCAGTGCCATCTATGTTGCACACCTCGTGAGTGCTAACCAGTTTGTTTAGGTCAGATTTGTGCCTAAAGGTGAAATTAACTGTTTGGCATTTGGAGGGGTTTAAGGTGAGACCGTTTTCCTTGGACCATTGGCTGATTTCTGATAAGAAGCCATTCAGTTTAGAGCAGTCACTTTGACGTTTGACAGGTAAAGATACAGTTAGGTCATCAGCATATTCGACAAAGTTAATGTCATTTGAAGATGGTAGGTCATGCAGGAAGAATGAAAAGAGAAGTGGGGAGAGTACAGCCCCTTGGGGGACACCAGCTTCAGTGAGCACAGCAGAGGAGGATTCGCCTTTGTATACGGTGTACTGCGTTCTGTTTGAAAAGTAGAAATGCAACCAGTTAGTGACCCAGGACTCGGTTTGTGTCATGGAGAGCTTATTTAGCAAGAGACTTCTAGGTACAGAGTCGAAAGCAGAAGTAAAGTCAAGAAACGTGCAGCGGACGTATTTGGCACTTATATCTAATGATGAGACAATACTGTTATGTAAGACGGTTGCAGCATCTAAAGTACTCTTACCCTGTCTGTAGGTAAATTGTTTGGGGTTTTCGAAGCTTTTAAGGGAGGGTTCGAATTTAAGAAGTACTAGTTTTTCCATAAGCTTTGGAAACGGGGAAGTAAGAAATCTGATAGCCTGAACAGTTTATTAATGTGTGAGTCCATGACCCAAAAATCAATGTGCAGGCTAATTACACAAATCATTTGTTCAGACTGACACCGAGCCTAAACGTAAGCGATAAAACAAATGAGTCATATTTCCACAGCACAATAATTTGGCTTGAATTCTTTGCAACCTATTCCTACTCCCTCTAAAACAAGTAGTAACTTGATTTTCGTGGTTCAGTGGTAAAACACTTGCTAACCACGCACGTGGTAAGGCGTTCGAGCCCCGTCGGCATCTCGCATAGCCCCAAAAAGACGGGGAGGTTGGGGGTGAAGCTACCAACTTCATTTCGTAAAACACTGACTGACTGACTGGTTTTGGCGTGTAGTTTTGCACCGATGTGCAGAAGTTCGAGTAGCCACATTTCTCTCAGAACATAAAGCAAAAGAAGAAAGTACAAGAAAAGCATAATAGAAACAGTGAGCAGAGGTGTGAGACAAAGGAGTAATAAAGAAATACAAAACAGTTTCATTGAAGATCATAAGTCACAAGGAGTGGATGCATCTGCGCCACTGAGAACGATTTTGAGCCATGTCACCAATTGTTTCCAACCAAAGATTTTTACCGTCCCGAGGACCCCAGCCTGGAAGTCTACACCTTCCTACATGGCTTAGACCAATTGTTGTGGATTTCATTGACTGATGCCAAGTTTTTGTTTGACCGCCGCTAGCTTTTTTCCAGCCTGACCCTATATCCGCTAACATTGCTCAAGCTAGTGGCTTGAAGTTTCTGTAGCAGTGTTTATTTTACAGGATGAGGTTGCTAGCCTCATGTCCAACCTTTCCTCTTTACCAGAATTATTTCTGGCTCAGCGAGGTAAAGGAGTGCATCGGCCGGGGATCGAACCCCGGACCATGTGCATGGTCAGCGAACGTCCTAACCGCTATTTCACCGACACCAGTGTGATTGCACGCTATCATCCGGACACTGGCTTCGTCGTGGACAATCAATAGCCTAAAAGAGCCTAGCCTGCTTCTTTTTGCTTACGGAGGGGTCAAAGTGTCTAATTCCTAAAAAGATGCAGACCACGGGCTATTCATTTCTTCCATAGTCCTTCATATTCGGCTTCTTTTGTAATCCGTGCATACTTACTACGTAGAGAAGTCAACACAGCAAGAGTATTTCAACAAAAAGAACCAATCAGTGAAATGTATGCAATTGCAATCATATTATCAAATGGAAATTGAGTCAGAAACATTCAGGGAATGGTACTTCCTCACTTTGTGCTTTATAAGTACATTTTACGTGATATGTAAACAGTTAGCACAAAGTATTGTGAAGCTTAGTGCTTGGGACAGAAATCAAGGTTAGTAAGCTTAGTCTTACAGACAAACTACAGCGACTAAGGAGTAAAAGGATCTTACATATCGTTTTGAAAATAATTTTTATGTAAATATAAAGCAAAAATGAAAATATTGAGCAACCAGAAAGTGAATACCACTACATTTTTCCGAAGTTTCTTCTCTTAATTTAAAGTGTGGAAATTTCAGTAGTTGGTAGAGTATTGCATCTAATTTTATCGAATAATATTAAAAATAATCATAAAGGTAATATTACAGGATTGTTAATGGCAGTTCTTTTTCGATATTTGTAGTGACAGTAAAGTTATACATATAGCAGAAAAAATTGTAAATAATAATAATTTTAGTATTTAAGATTGTTAGTTAATTGATCATAGATTACAAATAGGAAATAATAAAAGAGCCAACTATTTTGCTAACAACATAGTAATTCATAAGTTTCACAGGGGCAAAATATGGCATTGTTGAGCTCCCATACTTAATAGTAAGAGTACATAATCCTTTGTACTGACTTCTAGTCCTACCTGACAAGACACAAGGGGAAATTTGATAATAGAAGGGGTGCTGAGGGACAGCATAGATTTAGATTTCTCGCATGAATTTACATGTCTATCAATTAATGTAGTGACAAGCTGACTAAGTAGTACACCACTTGCCCTACTGACAGCCTTTAATACCCTTCTCAAAATGACATGGTCCTTTTTCAGTAGCCCGGGAAAGGCTACGGAGGATGAGTAAAATACAATAGGTGAGACACACGAGTTAACAATTTGTAGAAGCAGAGGTTGAGTGATTCCAGATAGTTTTAGCTTCTTAATGCAGTAGCTTGAACGGCACATTTTCTTGGAGATCGGTAAAATATGGAATGACCAAGTAAGGTCAGAGGTTAGAACTATACCAATGTATTTTGTGTTCAATCTAGTTTTTATTACGTTCTCCTCTATACTACAAGCATAATGTGTGCGAACAAGTCGTTGTAGATCACGTTTATGTCTAAAGGGAGAAGTCAATAGTCTGACATTTTGAGGGACTTAACATAATTCCACTTAGCTTAGACCACTGACTGATGTCCGACAAAAAGCTATTAGTTTGCAACAGTCTGATTGGGAAGTGATACGAAGCTAGACGGTCAGATCGTCAGCGTAAGTGACGAAGTTGGTGTCATTCAAAAGAGGTAAGCCATGTTAATAATAATAATAATAATAAATGTAACTGACCGTAAAACGCGGGGAATTCTACAAATTTAGCTCAACAAGTAATTACTTTCTATGTAGTCGTCACTTAGCCACGTCTACTGTATGAGCCCATTACACTACCTGGTTGCCTAGACGACGGTACGAGAAGGGCCAGAACCCATGATCTCGTGGTTAAAAATTCAGTCCCACCGCCACAGAGATGACGCGATACGACATCTATTCTTACCACAAACCCTGTTGTGAAAAGATATTCAAGGATCATAGAAAGACAACCTTTCATTTGAGGTGTAAATATTCCAGATGCCTGTAAAATATTATATTTTTTTCGAAATAGTCGTTTTCATTTTATTAAAAAGTGCTACAACTCGGTACGGGATAACATGCAAAATATCTACAAAACAAATATTTTACATTAATTCTGGATAGTTCTGAGAGTATGAAAGGCGTCCGTGACTATTCACCATATAACTTAATGTAATATAGGATGGAAAGCAACAGTGTTGCAGTTTAATGCCAGTATCAACTAGTAATAAAATGGGAAAAACCTAGGATAAATAAACTGGATTGAGTTGCCACACTTTCCAGTGCTTCAACACACCAGAAGCGCATAAAACCTGTTAGTAAACCCCATTATTCACCATAAAACACAACTAAATATTCGTACATGCACACTCAGACTCGCTAACACCCGTTGGAGGAAAAACCACCGACTGAGAGTATAAACTGTCTAAAATCTTCAAAGGTTAGAACAATGAGGAATTATGCTGCCTTCATTACTTTTTACACAAAACTAGAATACTCTATTGCAACCCAAACACAGTTACTCAAAAACGGGCCAATGAAGAATTTCCAGGGTACTTTTACCATAATCGTGTGTTTAGTTACCGACAAATCGGTAAAAAAAAGAGATGGGTGATATCTATTTGAATATTCCCCAAATCCAGATGATCATTGTTTTAGTGACACTGTACGAAGAAGACGTTTTCGCGAGTGATCGACAATATAAATAGCTGGTGCAGTACCAAAAACTTCAGTCTTGCATCAGGCAAAATCAAGTTATATAGATAAGTGATGACAATGAACTTCAACGTAAGTCTTGAGTAATAGCTGACTTCAGAAGTGGCTGACGCTTAGCAGTTGAAACACCAAACCAAGCTAATCACATTGTTGCAGTATATAGTCACATATATATGGATTCGCTGCAGCAAATATTTCCTAAGTCTCAACTTAAAATCCCACCCATTAACGTATAAATTTTGTACGTTAAATTACATCCCCGCAGCGTCAGCAGTATATGCAAAATACTGCAACACTGCAGCTATAATCTGCCTTTAAATACTATCCTGCGTCTGTCAGGTTAGAGGAGTTACCACTTAAAATACAATGAAATCTGAGACAATTCACTAACCTTTCTTTGGCGAACGCCACCAGCAGACCCTCTTGATGAAGCGGTTGAAGATTTAGACGAAGCAGGAGGTGCAGTCGGCTAATAAATTTCGTCAAGTTACGGCTTAAACGAACACCTTACCATTCTTTTTGGACACTGCAGGCGTACGCTACTTTACTGATCGAAATCTACGTCAGAATACGTGTCCCTTGATATAATTCATTACCTGGTTAAAACAAGCGGACTAATTTCAATTACAGAAAATAAGGTGAGTTTAGTGATTTCAGATCTGCAGAAACAGATAAAAAGGACCACGCTAATCTTATCAGATTTCGAGCAGTATTAAAGTGACAGGAAATCCCTCTCTATCAAGCTATTATCATCCAAACTGATCTCTCTGAGCTCACATCTTGGTACAGATGTTCCAGTTCTCCAGTGGGCTCCTCTGTATTTCGTTCCTTCACTCACTTCTCGCGCGTTTGACCATCCTAGAAGGAAGTGGTACGAATTGTTAAAGTAATTTGTAGAATGCGATATATTGAGACCGTGGTGCTGCTGTGGCCAAAGTTAGTCTTTTCACTCGTTAGCCATCCGTTATGGTAGAAGGGTAAGACCATAATAACGGCAACAGTGTAAATGACGATGTAACTTGTGACTAATATTGTACATGTGCATAGAGGCATAATAGGAGAGAGGAATTCATATGTAAATGAATTTGTAGGCAGAGCAAGAGGAGTAATGAGATAAGTTAAACCGAGCGGGATTCAAAGACACGTTTAGTTGAAACCCACTGACATAGTGCAGTATGTGAGGGTCGCATCCTATTTTGGTAGTAAGGATGTGCCATTCAGTCGGAGTCTCTGTGTTTTTGCTTGATTACCCAATCTCCTTTTACGGATTTCCCCTCGCTCATGGCCTCAACACTAGATTCATTCATTGGGTATTGTATTCAGGAGGAAAGACATAAAATGGCAGTTGCAAACTAAGCAATACTGACGGCTGAAAACGAATATCTGATTAGAAATTATACCCTATTTTTAAGTACCCTACTTCCTAGTGAACTACTGAGTAATGAACTTTATGCATGCTACCTGTCAACTCATTTTTGCCGAATTGGATACAAAGGATCAGCTACTGAAACCACTTCCTACATCTCATGGAGTGCCCTCGATAGGTTAACGGCACTGCCCCTAGTAGGCAACCTGAGGGGCTTGAAGTCTATTCAATGGGGAGTGCAACTGTTAGGATGCTTTATGAATTCTGTAGTTTCACTACCCACTAAGCTGTTTTAAAGAAGTAGAAATAGGTTTACCCAGAAACTCACCGACTAAAGATGAAATTTGAAATGCACTTAATGCAAAATTCAGTGCAGTTACCTAAGAAGTTATCCTTTTACAGGGATATGGAGAAAAAGACGCATCATCAGATTCCCAAGGCATCTTTTGGATCAATAGTAATTTTGTTCTCCAGGGTTTCTACGTAGGAATAGAGACACTATTTAAGATCTTACCAACAGGAAGCGGTAAAATTTCGGCTGGTATCAACCAAAAGTTGCGTTCAAAAAAACCCTAAACAAACAAGATAGAGGAGATTCACGGCGGTTCGATAAACCCCATCCTAGACTTTTTAAGGATCTCATCGTTCACGCAACAAATCCACCGAAAAGTAATCAACTATACAGGGGGAGTGTCCACTCAACAAGAAGAACGCAATATTTACCCATGCCTGCAAATAAGTAGATATACACAATTTTCCAAACTACATATCTATTAGCCTTCCTTGCACCTTAATTAGAGTACCGGCGAGAATAACTCAGAAAGCCATCATGACCTAGTTGGGAAAAAACAAATATTTACCCAACGCACAACACAGTTTTCGAGTCAACATCTCGTTTAGGATAAACATTCGCATGCCAACACAGAGCAAGTTTGAGTCTATGGTTGCAATGAAACCGGTCTACGTAATCTCAGTGAGTCATGGTAAAGTATTAGACCGATTGCTGCAGGCCAGATTTTGCGTGGAACTGTGGACACTCCAAGTTATATTACGCCCGCTGACCTGGAGAGACAAATCGCCAGTTCTCGGTGATTCATAGAGTGGGAATCAACCCGTACTTCTTTAAACCTATGGCGCACGCGCTGCGCTCCTCATTTTTTCTATCTTGAGTTTCAGCTTACTCTTTGGTTCCCCTAATCTTCTATGTTTCTGTAAGCAGATCACCACGAAGTTTTGTCAAGACTTCATTTCAACAATGAGATACACTGTAGATACATCTTAAATACCTTTTAGGCTTGCCTAACCAATAGATGCTTACTAATAATGTGGTGAAGTGTACCGGCATCCTCGCCTGGCATGCAAGCATTAGAACGTAATTCATGCGAACGACACCTCTCCACCTTATCTAGATGCAAACTGCCATAGATTACAAAGTCGTGACTTGAAAACTATGGTACGTTGTCTCAATGTGTGTAAGTTTATCCCAAATGACTGAGTTCTTCAAGGAAACCACTCATTTATGTCACTTGAACAACTTAGAGCTCGTTTCTAGTAGCCTTCAATTAGCTATAAAACCTACACCTTTCATATGGCTATATATTCCGCTTGAACCGAGCTATGACCCTTTTACCCACTGACTCTTTAGACTGCTCCATTTAACATGCCACAAAAATTTCAAACCACAAGAAAAATACTAAAAATTACAAAAGAAAGTTAATTTCTCGCTGCAGTGTGGGAGGCAGAGCGACACGAGCTGGTGAAAGCCCTCAGGGTCAGTTTGTAAGTCGATGTATATCTTTTTGATGACGGCGAAAATAAGTAGAATGTTCTTTCAATGTACGAATCTTGAAAGGCTTCCCAGGATACCAAAGAAATGAGAATATACGGCATGGAAGTGCTAGGAGTCTGCAAGAACAAGTGTGATGGATGTGGACGGTCGCAGTTGTCAACTGGTAGGTCAGTAATCCACTTCAGTCTGGTCACATAGACGACAACCATGAGCACACTGAAGCTGAGAGTGATTATAATTATATCACCAGTGGCAGCCAGAGCCCCAATGCAGTGGGAACCAATTTCATCCAGGACCATGACAGCACGATTCAACTCAACGGGTGGGAACGTTACAGTCATTCAATGCTAACCACACTGATGCAAAAAGGTGCGAACAAGATAAAGAGGAAGATTTCGACAGACAGCTGCAAACTGAAATGGACAGCACCACGAGTGGTAATATCAAAATACCTGTGTAAGATATGAACGTCAAACTCTTTCGAGAAGCCCTTGGTGATATGAATGATAATGGAGAACTCGTCAAGGACTACTGCGCTTTCAATGATTTGGCGATCGGGGGCAGCGTGTACAAGCAAAATGATATGCATGAAGCAAAATGGATTCCACCTGACATCCAAATCCAGAACCAGAGATTTTATCTCAACCTCAATAAAGTGAAGACTTATCCTGCTGGACACAAAGTCAAGAAGAGGAACATATGTGGGTTCCCACCAACATCCAGTTCAAAGAACCCATCAGCTGAAGTTGAAATCCTTCAGAACAACTGGAGACAGGCCACAATTCAATTTCAACATTAAGAAATTGAAGGACGAAACTATATAGGATGCCTTCACTATACTTCAGATCACAGCAAAGTCTAAGACACTATGTGGAATTACAGAGGACACCTACGTAGAAGAACACTGGAACTAACTTCCTGGAGGTGGTGTTCAAGGAAGCGTGTTAAACTGTTCCAGGAAGAAAGAAGAGACACAAAAAGGAATGGCTCTCAATAGACAGCGAACTACGAGCTAACTGAGGACAGTAGGATGGCGAAAGAGAAGGTGGGTAAATGCCAAGATAGGCAAACGGAGGGAGAATCTGAGTTCAATGTATACTGCACTGAATAGGAAAAGAAGTGAAGAAGATTTCTAGAAAAAACGAAAGACCATTCGACGACACACGAGCAACTGAAGCAGAGCAGGCAGCAGGTAAAAGTGACCCCAGGACATTATATCAGGTAACCAGGCCTATATCTGGGAAGAGATCAAGTCAGATGATGAAACCAATAAAAGATGTTCAAGGGAACCTGACTGACAAGGAGGAGAAACAAATAAAACAATAGGGTTGATCACTCCATAAGACTACTGAATCGAACACGACTTTCAACTAGTCCAGGAACACTACCGACAGCACACACGAAACTGCTACTGAACACCAAACCTCCGTGAAAAGCCGAAGTCGTGAAAGCGATCAGGCAGACGGAATAAACACCACTACCATTAAAGCACCAAAAGCGGACCCAGGGACCTTGGCGTCCATGTTGACGCCATTCCTGCAAAACTTTTAGAAGGCAGGAAAGGCACCTACTGGTTAGAAGAAGGGCTACCTTCTCTAACTTTTGCGTGTGCTACTGATAGATCTATCGGTGATATATAAAAGGACGCTCATCAGCATAAAAGTATCAAATCGGAGGGAGGTAGGTTGGGCGCCAGTGGAAAGAAATGATTCAGCGTTGCGGAGAAACACGAGATATGACAAATGGAGGACAAAGAAGCAAGATATAAATGTCAGCCACGTCTCATAAACCGTTAATGCCCAGCTCTTGCTACGCTCGGGCCCACGCTGTTCCTTGCAGTTTTTCAGAAACGCTTAGTAATAACGGACGAAAAAACCAAAAGACCGATTGGCCACTCCAGAATTCTTTATTGTAACACCAACATATAAAAATAATGTTTTTACTAGGGTCTGTGAACAAATATTACAATAATAAACCACAGTATTACTTCTGATGGTTTACTGCTGACTTCTTTCTGAACAGCGACCGATGAGACGATGACTGTCGCATTGATGCCTCCGCAAAAATTGGGGAAGTTGGTTTGAGCAAACAACCAAGAATTGATCGTTCAATCTTCAACTCCATTGACACTCCCCGGCAAAATACGGATCCAACCCTTTTTTCCTTCACGACCAATACACGTTGACTCGGATGCCATTGCGAGAACCTGGGTCACACGGACAGAGCTGAAATGGAAAACAAACAGAAAAGCCAACACACCACAAGCATACTCACAGCACAATCTCACACATCAATGACGACCTGCGCATCCAGATAGAGACCTCCTCTTGACATCTTGCAACACAATCGCCACCTGCTAGAATGACTCTTGCAGAATGCAACGTGACCATAGCACCAACTCATGATACTCTACGCTCATCCTCTTATCTACTCACTACCAATTATCACTGCA